GGATTCCTTCCACATGATGGCGCAATTTGAACTCAAGTCCAGTTCGTTTTGTTTTTTTGGTCAATTTTGGTCATTTAAGTACGGTTTTCTAATACCATATTATTTGTGCTTTAATTTTAAATAGAATCATAAAAAAAAAAAATCTAATGTAAATATAATAGACGACAAAATACATACAATGTGCACAAAATAAAACCCTTGTATTTTGGGTGATAAGAATTGAAATGAACATATCTAGAAACAAATATCCATCAAGTTTGCAAATGTTCTCAAATAAGTTGGAGAAAAAAAAAGACAAACAAACAATGTGTGCCCGCAGCAATATATATTTTAATTCAAAGTGAATTTTAACAATACACCATAATTTCTTTAATTTGACACTCACCAATAGTCACCAGGAAAACCCGCTTTTTGTGATAAAGTACATAAGGCTTGGTCACATATAAATCACTGAGAACTAGAGAGAAATACGACCGCAAACTGTAAGAGACATTACATCCAAAAAAAAAAATTTAAAGGAAAAACAAAAACAAAAAAGGTTTCCCAGTCCTCATATAGTGAATATTGCACAGTGCAGTGGCTACATGGCAAACTAATGTAGCATAGAAATCAAAAGCAAACAGAAATCAGAAAGCCACAAAAAAAAAAAAGTACAAATATGAAAACAGTAACAGCTCAGATTTAGTAAACCTCTTAAGTCTAAATATTACCGATAACTTGCAGTGAGATTTAACTTTTACTAAAATATAATCTGCAGAAGAGTTAAAAATAGACCTAAAGCAATCCAACCCCAATCTTACGGCAAGTGTTACACAGTAGCACATATGACAAATACAAGGACCCTGAATTAACTGTACAAGAATGTCTAAAAGAAAATCATGAATCAAAGAAAACAAACTAAAATAAAATCTGTTTGGTTTGGGAGTTTCAAAGACATTTCAACTTTATTTTGCAGATCCCTCAGTCCTTAGCAATTGTGCTAATATTCTCTCTCATTAGGTTGGGTTTGGTAGACCTTGTTAGAATGAAAACATCTCTGAAATGTTTACTAGCAGTGAATTAATGCAGTGAATTCATATAATGTGTGCATGAGTAGCAATTTAGTACTCGTCTCTAGTGCTACATGCTAAATATAAATTATAGGGACATAATGTGAAAAACCACACCACTTTTTGGACTGCATCTTCATGAAGTCGGCTCCACTAAAGCAATAAACTCTGATAACAAAGGGCAATGTTCATTCTACTTGACAAATGGTGGTTTACATTCACAGTGTATCATGTATAGCTCCCCAAATACGAGAAAACCGTGTCTTGGGTGTTTAGTCAGCATAACAATAATCATAACAATCCCTGATATCATTTCATTATTGTTTTTGTCGTTGGTCATAAAAATATAGATTAATCAAGCATGATTGGATTTCCTCTCCACAATTTTGAGAAACAAACTTCCATTTTTCTACCTTAAAGGTGTTTACTGCATTGCATGACTATCAAGTTACACTCGCTATTGGTTATCAGGTTATCAACATCTATCAAACACTGCAGTTATGCTTTCACTCCTCGGTCACGCCGTCCGAGGGAGCATGAAAGAGAGGAAGAGGCTGGCAAGCAGTGTTTGTAAAAGGGATATAAAGGTCTGAAGCACATTTCAAAGGCACTAAACGCAGTGTCGCTCGCTTTAAAGAGCAGGGACCGGTGCGAGAACGAACACACCCATATAATAATCGCTCACAAAATGAGAACGGATGCCCTGGTAATTCAGAACAGTCCGCTTTTTGAAACAAGCAAAACGTGCATTTTGTATCGTTTTTTCATTTCTAAACACATTAATATACCTGATACAATTTCATGTGTGTATTTCATGTACAATTACAATAATAAGGGGGGAATTTAAATAAAAACAACAATTTTAAGCACTGTAGTTACTGAGATGAGACGCCCAAATGAGACTTTTGCCCAAACCCGAAATTTTGGCTAGCTTATCGAAAGTATCCAGTGCTAATAGCATTACTGAAATTAATAGTCTGAAATGGGTCGCTGAATATAGAATTTATATTGATACTTAAAACAAAAAGTTAAATCTATCCTGCAAGCTATGCTTTAACAAAATGCAAATATACGTACTAAGATAGATATACACCAATATGCATCTAATACGTTAGATTAGCCCCAAGATAACAACAGATAAAACACTGATGCAAACTAAACGTAAAAGAACACAAACCCACGCACACAAAAACCCAAAAATCTCCATTACTTGCAATACAGTAGTTACAATGACACTTCAAAAAAAAGAAAGCAAAACAGAGAGAGGCATTAAAATGCTTCTGATGCCAGTCAGTACGGTAAAACCCAAAAACAAACAAACAAACAAAAACGGGGGAAAAAAAATCATCTCACTTCTATTTCAAGGTCATTAGACGTATATAAAAATAAGAAGGCTAAGAACAAAGTTAATCATCTAATTTCACAGCTATTATGAAGTGGCAATCAGTATATAGCAGCTTATCTATGATACATTCAAGAATAAATGAAACAAAGTCATAACTTGCCCGAAAAAGCTAAACATCAACATTTTTACATAGATTTTTCTGTTAAATACGGCCTCAGCTACACTACGTTCGAGGTCTATGCTAAAACAGTAGCTACTCTGCTTAAGAAATGAATTACTGTCTTTGGTGTAGCGAAAGCATAATGAAAGGATGCACCTATAATGGAAAAACTCAAATCTAATAATAAAAAATAAAAAAATTCACACAGAAAAAAAGCTATTTCTCCCTGACGGAATGTTTGAAATCAAAACAGCCAGCGTCAAAAAAGCAATTAAATGGTGAGAGAGGGAATACAAAACAATCCAATCTTGTCGCATGCATCTATGAAGAAAATTGCACACGATCAACTCTTGTCTTATAAAAGCACTGAATACTCCAGCAATGACAGACTTTACAGTTGGATACTCAATACTGAATAATTCTGCACAAAGCAAACATGAAACCATACAATATCATCAAAGAGCTATCTGCTGATACAAATCCAACACCGATAACACTTCTAACTCTAAAAATAACAGAATCGATGGAAAGAAAACGAAAAACACACCCCGAAAACTATGGATTGTATTGCAGTTTCATTAAACAGTGTAAATACTATTAGAGTAGAAACAGATTATCAAATATGAAAGTACTCAAACGTTTCTATACATAGTTTATCGGCCTCTGCTACGGCGAAGCACGTTATCCTCGAAGAATCAAACTCTGCTACCACAATACATCCACCTGTAAATACAGCGCGTAAAGGACTGTTTCGCTTCCGAATAATGCGCAAATCATCTAAGGCGTCAAACAAAACATTTCGCCTGTTCTAAAGGGCAAATCATGAGCCTAATCTTGGCGCGAATAGCAAGATTTTATTGACATGAGACCCATTAGGCCGTGTTTGGATCAACACCCAATCGTCTTTCCGAACAAAAACTCCCGTCGCGACCCCAAGAGATGAATTAAATAAGTAGAAACGACACCGATGTATAGATTATGTAAGCCAACGAACGCGCTAATGCACCAAGCACGGAAAAGCAAATATATGAAACACGGTACGAAAACCAAATACGGTATGAAACAGCCCTAATATAAAAATCACAAAGAACGATTGAAGGTTTTTCAAGTGCTGCAGTCTGGTACACGCATGACTGCATGTGGGACTCGGGGTAAATTGCAACAACATGTAT